TGATGGCTCAAGATGAGCACAATCTCTACCCACAGCAATACTGCTTCATTAGCTGCTAACCCTTAAACGAGGGTGAGGAGGGGTGGGTCCACAATCCATCCCTTCTGGTCACTCAGGTGCACTGCTTGCACCTGAGCTCCCTGGGTTCACCTTCTCAACTGGTGCTCAGCCAGTGGTTCAGGCTGTGACCTGGCAATTCCACAGCAGTTGATTTAACAGTTCCTTTGTAAGTGTCATGCAAGAATTGATATCATACAGAAATAATAATAATAAAAAAAGTCTTTGCCACAAACTCGAAAGTAAACAAAATAATAAGTGTACTGTCAGTGTCATGAAAAAACTTCTGTCAATTTTAGATCAATTGCAGTAAAGTAGTGGCTGTATAACATGTGGTACTGGTACTGCCTGGTTTGGGGTTACATGCACAGAAAATGCAAACAGATGGTCTTTGTCATGCAATGATATCCATGCATGCAGATTTTTGCCCGTGCATGAGCTCTGTTAGCTTCAAAATAGCTCTCAGTGCAGATACGAGTCACTCTGCAGGAGCATGCTGAGCTAGCTGAGACTGAATGACTAAGCTAAGAAGTTTAAATAAAAATAGGTATTTGGGTTTTTTCCACCCTTTCCCTCATACAGATCTGAATAGTAAAATAAAGCCATTGACAGAGCACTCACTAATACACATGAATTGTATCCTTCGAACTTTTTTAAAGCAAACTGATTATATTCCAAGAATTTGATCTCATTTCTACGGATTGCTGGTGTAAAGACAGTGTGAACTAAATGATATAAAAGAAGAAAACAAAGAGAGAAACATTTGTGTTTCTAGCTGCTAAGGCATAAAAGTGACAAACATCCAAGCATGCCACAATAGAAAACTAAGCACTGATCCCACATGATAAATTGAAAAAGCAACATTCTGTATGGTACTGTTTAACAATAGTGCAAAAATAACTGCCGGAAACTCTGGCTAAGGATGGCCCACAGACAGTTCTGGAAAGGATGAGGCATCAATAGGGAAACTACAAGTAGAACAAATGAATTATCCGAAGCCTACTGGAAACAGGAAACTGAGGACACTTCTATTTTCAAATGGCATTTATTATCATTCTCCTCTTGCCTTTTTAAGCAGAAAGCAGCTAAATTTAACATAATATTTTTCGAGAAACATATGTATTTTATTATATTCACATTTACTTGCTGGAAATATCACGAGAAATATTAGACTTCTATTTTCCATCCATGCCACTGTCTCCTCTTGAGTTTCCATATGAAGTAACAATAATCTATTCCACGAAGCAGTATGACTATTGAAGCCCATTTTTTACAATCATATTTTGTCCTCCCACACCAACCATTACCTTTATAACAGAAAGGACAGCAACAAAGGCTGTTGTTTGTCCAAGAGTATGCATGTGCTGACTGATCAACAAGCTGTTGACATGGGAGAGAGGTCAGTGAATGAGTCCTGTCCATCTTCCCTCAGCGAGGTACTTGAGAGATGTCTGTCCTGTACTTACACAACAGCAGCTTTACAGTTCTCAAAACACAGTTATTTTGAAACTCCTTTACAAACAGGTTTGCAAATGCTGGATTCACTGAAGGGAGAAGATGTGCAGGCCCAAGGGGTGAGCCTCATCTCCTTAGAAAACTAGCTATGAACTGCCATGGGGAAGGAGGTGGCTGACTGCCTTCAGAGGAAGTAGGACATTCCTCCTGAATGTTTTGTCAGGAGCTAGAGAAAAATTGCAGTGAGCTGAGAATTACAGGGAAAAGAAAGGAAAGAAGGAAAGAGTTAAAGATCTTGTCCCCAATATGACTGAAGTCTGAGATAAATCAACAGCTCTACTCATCACTTAGGGAAGGGCACAGTCCCAACCCTGCACCATGAATGAACACAGAATCAACTTTCAGAGATAAGTAATTGCATCTCAGTTACAGGAATCAAAATCTGTAGATGTAGATAGATAGATCAATAAGGTGAATATAGATTCAGCTTTTCACAAATTTTGGTTCACATTTCCATAATTCTCCCGTGTATTTCAGTGAAGATACTGTCCAGCTGCATCGCATTTCAGCAGGAGAGAAATAATCAAGTCAGACACATTATACCACAGTGGACAGAGTGGGGAGAGATTCTGTTGTTTGAGATCTTTTCTAAAGAGCAGAGGAATCGAGCTTCGTTTTTGTCTCTCAATTTACTTTGCCATTCTTATTGCGTCAAGCAAAAACCAGCCTCCAAAATAAAAAATGAAGTGTCACTCATTCTCCTCAAATACTGCCAAGAAAAGCCCCGATTCCCAAGCCACCCTTCTGCCCTCAAGTGTTCCTGTGACAGCGGCAGGCCATCTCCAGAGAAGAGAGGTACATCATAGCCACAAAGCTGTGTGGAATGACACCACCACCGCGTGCTTTCCCACCAGAGCTTAGTAACATCATCAAGTACATCTGAATTTCCGTATCCCTATCAATAAATAAATATGCTCATTAATTTTAAAATATCGCCATACAACAAGTAGAATAGGTCACATACACACACACACACACAAAAAACCAAATGAAAAAGGAACAAGAAAATATTCCAGCGTGTAGAGTGCTTAAGAACTTAAAGGTACTGATCTAAGCAGAAAAATGTGAAGCCAGTGCTCTTAAACCCCCTCTTCATATTGACACAGACCTTTGCTGCAGCATCGGACAAGAAACAGAACAGCTTGTCTGCCTCTGCAAGTCTGCCTAAACAATGCTCTAGTTTATTTGTCCTTTAAAATACACCACAGGTAATAATCCTTTATCCACAAATATCTTGAGTTCAGGGAAAAGAGCTTGTTTCAGCCAGTTTGACAGAGGCATGAAATAGGCAATATCATGCAAGATGAGAAATCTGAAAATGATATTTAATATGGAATAGAAAAAGTGCTGTTATATAACACAAAAAGAATCTGATGTAGTCATGCTTTAATATTTTCCCAAAACTAAATCATGTTATTCTGAGGATACCTTCAGCATCGTGCACTTTTGGTCAAGGAGTGATTTTGTTTCTTGCTATGTCACAAGAAGAAAAACAGCCTCAGAACGGAATAGGCAAAGTATAAACTTGCTTGATTCTGAAACTAGTTTTTCTCACTGCTGTCTTATCTAAAAAATAGTTTCTCTGAAGATAGCTTTTACACACACACTTTTATAGCCCAAAGTCTCAAAACCCGTCGTCACTTTTAGCACAATTACATGTTATGTATTCATTCTTTTTATTTCAGAGGGACCATCTGTATATATTAAGTTACACATGTCCAATTAATTTGCAAGGATGCAGACTATGTTAAAGAAGTTCTTGAGATAAGAACACAGGATCTGGATTGTGCTGCCAGTACACCTCTGAGACCAAACAGGGTAATTGCTCATAGTGAGAAGAGCTTCATGGCCATGTAGAGTGTGACTCAATGCCAACAAAACCCAGGGGAGAACACTGCTCACGCCCTATTGAGGGACTTTTTTCACTTCCTTGTTTCTGCCACAACTGTCAGGTACCCATTGTTCAAAATTACTCTCACAGATCATTTCAGAAGCCCAGTGACCGATCTTCAGGAACTAACTGAATTGGAACTGCGCTTGGTTCTTTGTCAGAGATGTGCATGTTCTGTTTTTTGGTGGTACTGAACACCACAGCATCACAGTGGGCATCCAGAGCAGAGAGATTTAAGTCTGACAGCATACTGTGCTGAGAGGAGTATGGCCTTTTTGCAGACTCTCTCCAACACCCAGGGAAAGACTGTAAATGCAGAAAGATCACAGTTCTCCTCTGGAAATCTCTGCCATTCTTTTCTGGCCTTAGAGGAAGCCTAATACAAATGGTCTCCTGACTTAGACACTTGGAACAAACACCTAAAGATAAGGAAACAAGTCAAGATTCTGGAAGAGAATCCAGTAAATAGGAACAGGTCTTTGGCAGCCTTCCCACGAGAGCTGGAGTAAAGCACTTGGCCTGTGTTTCAGCTCCCTGTGTGTTTAATAGAAGGATAACATTACTGCCCTAACTCACAAGGGCACAATAAACACATTAATGATTATTATACCCTCTGAAAATATGGTAATGAAGGCTGTAAGTATAAGCACCATCACAAGGAACATTTCTGTGCACTTACTTTCACTTAGCTGTACTTTCAATATTTCAGAGCTTTCTTTCACATATACAGATCCTAAGGCAGAACTTGAGGGAACCCTCAGCCCACACCCACCACAAACTTTGGAGCTGTTTTTGAAAAAGGCTCAAACTGCTGCACCTGTGCAGTAGCGTGGGATGCAATCCTGCTTAGTAGGAACAGACTCTGCTATGGTTGTTGTCTGCAGAGGTCAATGACAGATGCTGAGTATCCTCAACTGCTGAATTCCATCACCACTTCCATTCCCAGGCAGCTCCCCTTGGCATGACAAATGAGGACACACAGGACACCAACCACAGAATGCAGAGGCCGCGTGCACGGCATGCCAGCACCCTCCCCAGCTGCAGCAGGCAGGACAGAGCCTGCCCTCTGGCACCAGAAAACAGTGCAGTGAAAGCCTTACAACTTTGCTATTTCCTGCATCCTGCACTGCATCATGGCAGGAAGGACTACAGTGAAACTGCTTTCCCTCTTTACTCATGAAGAGCAAAATGAGTATCTTTAAAATCTTTTAAATTCTTTTTATTTTTTTCCCCTTCAGTTAACTCAGAGATATTATGGCATGGAATTAAAACGCATCCCCTTTCATTCACCTCTGGTTCCTATTCCAGCCCCATCCTGAGAGCACCTTCTCTGACTTAGAGCTGAAGGTCGCAGAGTTTGCTGAATAAAGCACTCCAAGTTGCAGAGCACACACACTCAGATATACAAATACAGGACTGGTCATTACGGGGAACCACAAGATCAGGTATATAAAACTGGTAAAAAATAACTGATTTACAGCTAAATGCATAAACAGAAGAAACTTGTCTGGAGGCAAAGCAATAACGTGAGCATTACCTTAGCAATTCACAGTCTAGTCATTCATGTGAAAGATCTCTTCAAAGCAGCTGTTTCAGACTCTGGAAATTAAAGTAATAATAAAAATATAATTAAAACAAATACATACATCATTATAATTCTGGAATGTCTCAAAATAAGAATTAACAAAAGGTGAGCTTCCCCTTTAAGCAGCCCCACACCTGCTTAGGACAGCACAACCCTGCAGCAGGGGCACAGGGCCTTTAGAAAGCCCTACCCAGCCTAGCAAGCACACAGGCAAAGCACACAGTTAGTTTACAAAGGAATAATTGCTTCTCCTCCCTACCCCTTCCCTAAAGATGGCAAAATACACATTATTTAAAAATTAAAGGCATTTAGAGTAATAGTTCCCTAAATGCAAAGTATTTATTTCTTCTTTCATCACCGGTAGTTTATGGCGTTGTTTGGGTTGGTTTTGATTCTCGGTTTGTTCTCTTTTTTTCCCCTGCAGTTCGCTTAGTATTAGGCTTGTGCTGAACTCATCAATAAGAAATGAATTTTGGTAACTTTCAAAACCACTATATTATTTTTCCTTTTATTTGTAGGGAGTTTTTCTTCTCTCAGTGGTATTACTGCAATAAGTTAGTCATTATTTCTTTATGTTTTCCCTCCTTTCTTTAGTATTTCATTTCCCTTTACAGCACATCTCATGATCACAAAGAAAACAGAGACACTTATTTCTTTTAACAGTTGAAATTGCTGCAAGTGATTTAACTGTCATTTAATCTGATTCCTCTATTTTGTCTGTGGAGAAATATGTTTAATGTACTGGAAATTATGTTAATAAGAAAAAGCATTATCTCATTTAATGAAATAAATATACAAATATTTCAAAATAAAATAAAGAGGCAATCTTCACTGAGGAAAAAATGTCTCTTATGGTTTGCATAAAATAAACAAATGATAAAAATTAATGAATACATTGAAATACACTGACAAAAATTATGCCTAAACTCAAAAGGGAAAGAAAAAAAAAAAACAAAAAAACCAGAAGGAAACAAAAGGGAAGGTGACTGAATTGCAGCTCACCAAATCAAACAATTCCTGAGAAAACACAGCAGCAAGCAAAAAGGATCAGGGCACAAATGATTTTTAAAAATTATTTTATCACCTGAGGCAAAACTTCATTTTCCCCTCTCCCTTTTTAAAAAAAGTAGTAATCCTATCTCCTGCAATTGGCTTTTGTTTCATTTCCTTCAAATGGTGTTGAAAGAATATTTTTTTGTTTACTGACCGCAACTCTTTCATCCTTTAATTCTTTTTGGTCCTTTGCCACAAAGCACATTTAATTGATGGCGACAGATCCAAACCCCTCTGATTTAGTTAATCGTAACAGTCAATAACTCCGTTTCCAGGTTTTTACACTGTGAAGTATGTAACTAGCATGTACTAAGGTTAAGTAAATATTGTTAGTGGTGAGAGAAAAACTTGCAGCAATTATGTAATAAAAGCATGACCACTGCAACAGAAACACATAATTAGCGATTTAATTACAGACATCAAAACAAACTAAAGATGTCAATAAAAAAATCTACTGTGACAAACTGATTTCATTTCCCTGTTCTGCAATTCTAGATCTTAATGCACTTGCACTTCTTTATTGTTCCTTTTTTTTTTTTTTTTTTTCCCCAGAAACAGGCAGTGCAACACAAAATCAGATGCTGGGTGCCATCCGTTAGGGGTGCGACCAGTGGGGATTTGCTTCCTTTTCCCCCAGCTGAGAACTAGTGCCATCCATACAGCCAGCAGCTCCCCTTCACGACCAGCGGCACAGACAAGGCTGCTGCGTGGCAGAGAAGCCTCAGCCAATTGTCACAGCCCTTCCCAAGGCACTTTCTTCATGCACTGTTTTCCCCCTTTGCTTTCCCCCTTCATGCAAAGTGCTGTGGATCAGAACAGCTCCAGCTCGGTCGCTTCCGTTACTGAGAATAACTGCAAAGCACAAGAGAGGGAGAAATCTCAAGTCGCTTTCTTATTCAAAATGCACGGTTTTACTTCCCTGCAGTTCTCCTTTTGGTTTATAGGCTTGTCAATCTAAATTTGGGAAGGACAGAAGGAACCCAGTGAATGTTTGGGGTTAATATGAAGGAGTTCACATTCTTAGTTCAAAAAACCATCTAAAAATGCTCCCTGTGAAATGCTAAGCCTATTGCAGTCAGTTAAAAACTCCCACCACCATCAATGGGGTTTTCACTCTGCATCTGCAGGGGCTCTCACAGAGTCACAGAATTGTAGGAGTTGGAAGGGACGTCTGGAGATTGCCAAGTTCAACCTCTTGCCAAAAGCATGTTCCCTACATTAGCAGTTATACAGGAAAGCATCCAGGTAGGTTTTGAATATCTCCATAGAAGGAGACTCCACAACCTCTCTGGGCAGCCTGTTCCAGTGCTCACAAAGTAGTTCTGCCCCACGTGCAGATGGCAACATGTGTTCCTGTTCCTCCCTCGCATTCTATTGCTGGGCACAATTGAAAAGAGCCCAGCCCCATCCTCTTAACACTCACCCTTTATGTACTGATACGCATTGATAAGATCCCCCCCAGTTTTCTCTTCTCCAGGCTGAACAGTCCCATGCCTCTCAGCCTTTCCTCACGTGGCAGATGCTCCAGGCACTGAAACATCTTTGTAGCCCTCTAACGGAATCTCTCCAGCAATTCTCTCTCTTTCTTGAACTGGGGAGCCCAGAACTGGACACAGTTGCTCCAGATGTGGCCTCCTCAGGGCAAAGTAGAAGGAAGAAGAACCTCCTTCGTCCTGCTGGCCTCTCTTTGTAATGTACCTCCAGATACCATTGGCCTCCTTGGCCACAAGGGCACACTGCTGGCTCATAGCCAACCTGTTGTCTACCAGGACACCCAAGTCCTTCTCTGCAGTGCTTTTTTCCAGCAGGTCAGCCCCTAACTTGTACTGATGCATGCAGTTATTCCTCCCCGAGTGTAGAAACCTACACTTGGCCTTTTGGAACCTAATAAACTTCCTTTCTGGCCATTTCTCTCATTTGTTCAGGTCTCAGTAAATGGAAATGCAGCCTTCTGGTGTGTCAGCCACTCCTCCCCGCTTTGCATCATCAGCAAACTTGCTGAGGGTGGACTCTAACTCAGCATCCAGGTTGTTAATTAAGGTGTTGAAGAGGATTAGACCCAGCACCAACTCCTGTGATCACCACTAGCTACAGTCCTCTCCTCCGACTAGACTCTATGCCACTGATCACAACCTTCTGAGTTCTACCAGTCAGCCAGTTCTCAATGTAGCCCACTGTCTGCTCATCTATTCCACGCTTTCTAACCCGACCTACAAGGATATTATGGGAGACGGTGTGGAAGACTTTGCTGAAGTAAAGGTGTATGACATCACTGCTATCTCCTCATCTACCCAGACAATTTTGATGTGCTAGAAAGTTACCAACTGGTCAAGCATGATTTCCCCTTGGTGAATCCATACTGACTACTCCTCATAATCTTCTTTTATTCCACTGACCTCCTTTCCTAGCTTTAAGAGTTCCATAACTTTAAGAGTTATGAGATCCTTATCCTCCCGAAACATTCATGGAGAAAACCAAACTCCAGATGTGCAGAGATCATCATCATGAGGTCCTACACCTGACTCACTGTGATGGGATGCTCAAGCTGCACCATATATATAATATACAAAACAAATCACACACAGTGTTTGCTTGCAAGGGTAGACTGTAATGTGAAAGAAGCAAGCTATTTAAACATAAATTTAGAATCATTAATACACATATATTATATACATAAAGCCAGACTCTATACCAACACCAGGATTTGTTTTTAATTATGTACTCTCTTTTTCAGCTGAGTTTTGATTCTACAGAAAATACTTGCTATAGCTTTTGTGATCAGGGTTTACAGAGATATTCAGAAGGGGATAACCCTGTAAATTCACAGCTTTACTTTTCTAATTCGAGGTTTACAGGGCATTTAAAAACAAAACCTAAAACCTATTGTATTTCTTTTATAACTAGAGTGAAGAATGTTCGGCAGTGCAAATGAATTAGGAAATTACTCTCCTGCCGTGAAAAAAAACATTATGCTGTTAACATGCAGATATGCACTCAAAAAAAACACTAATTCAATAAGATGAGAAAGTAGGAGGTTTAGTATAAAACCCTCTCAGCTTTACTAATGTGAATGTCAATAACTGACAGCGATAACTTGCCTTACAAAGATGCAATACACCTTGAGAACCTGCCAATTGCAGAGCACGTCTTTGCCTCGCAGCAGCAGTGGGCACAAACCCTGCCAGGCTTGGATTTACAGGTACCAGATCAGTGCATGTCATTGCTCCCAGGGTCAGAGCTCTGACAGGACACCCAGAAGAGCCTAGAAGGAGCCCACAGACCAGGGCAGGTCCACAGTCACCTGTGCTTGGTAGCACTTCCAAAAACGAGTCTATCCCCAGAGTGCTCCCACTTAGACCCATGGCTCGTTAAAAAGTTATCATGAATAATCTCATCTATTTTGCTCTAGCAATACTTGAGGGAGCTACATCAAAAGAATGAAGTACATTCTTTTGCATGCAGTTTCTTTGAGCAATCAGACAAGATGAGCAAAACACCTTGTCAAACTGCAAAGGAAGAAACCCCCCAAAATATTTGCTTTGTTCTTAGAAAAAGCAAAGTAAAACTCGTTAAACTTTTGCCAAAAAACATCCGTACACTCTGTGAAAGCCTGACTTTTTACACAAAGTTTAGTAAGAAAAATACCTGTTCTTAAAAGTTACACTTTTGATGGAAAAACATACTTATTTTTCAACAGTCATTAAGCCCAAGCTTTAAAATGGACACCTGTTTTTCTTAAACTTTTATGGCTTGGGGTTTACTTTGGCATTTTAACTAACACATTTGTATCTTCTGATTGCTGCTTCTACTCTTGATAGGAAAAGAATGGGCAGAGGGGAACAGCAGACTCCTAAGGTGGTATTCTGCAATGAATTTGACTACACAGGATTTTTTTTTTTTCACTGAACATGTTTATTACACTGAATTTCAGCCGTCTTGCACATTAAGCTTTGCTCAGCTTGAGGCTAAACATGGATGAACTCAAAATCAGGACTTACTCCTTCTATCTGCAGAGCAAATCTAGAAATACAGCCCATCTCTGCCCATGCTGGGACTGAAGCTAAAACCTCTCCTTGAAGCACACAGCGTGGCTCAGCTGGAGTCACAGGGGAACTTGCCACACCAGTGCCACAAGCACACAGATTTGATGCTTTGTGCCTCTTGCCCCAAGACAAAGCTGCTGGTTTGTTCTGCAGCTGCACGCGCAGCCACTCGCTTTTGTTACGCTTGAAGCCCCTTTGGCTCCTGCAGATTGAATACACCACTGCAACTGAGGCTGCGACATCAATACACAGATTGAAAGCTGGAAGTAAAAAGCTAATAGTGTCTTATGTACTTCTGAAATTTCTCCTGCCTCTTTTATGTAACTCCTTTAGCCTTTTATCAGCCTTTTTAAGCATATTTGAATTTATTTGATTTTCACATTTTCTCCCTCTGTTCCTCTAATGAAAAGAATTAATTTATATACCTTTGAAGAGAGCTCTCTGCTTTCCCACAATGCAATAGACCCTTTTTCCTCAAAATGGGAGTCATAATTTTGAACCTTAGTAATGTGCATAAACACTGAATCTGGAAAATCAAGCAGGTGTTGAAACCAAAAGATAGAAATGCGTGTTTGAGCAGAAATACAGAATTTGAATATCTTTGAAAACTGTATCTCCTCACAAACTTTTTTTTTTTTTTAGTATTTCTAGAAGATGCATTTTTGCAAAATCCATTGTACCACCTCTGCCTGCTCTGTGGAAATATATCACTAACCCAGCAATACTGAGAACTCACCAGAAGAACAAGAGAACTGCAAATTTTAGATTGGGGGAAGACTAGTCCAGGCTGGGAATTAAACAAGGGCTAAACACTTCATCCTTCATGATTTCAACTCGTTTGTATTTGTTTTTAAGCAATTGCAAGGGTGGTCAGTAGGTATGTGGTATACAGCACTGAGAATTCATGTTGCAGACACATCACCATCATGCCAGAAGAATGCCCCCCATTGCTGAAACCAGAGGAAACTAGCCACAGACTACTCAGCACTCAAATACAGTAGCAGAAGAGCATGAGTAGAGATAGATGCTCTCAATTTGAGTAATGACAGAGTTTCTGTTCTGCCAAATGGGCTTTTGTCCTTCCTTATCATTATACCACGTCAACCTGGGGAACCATCCACAAAATAAAAAAAACAAAAACAAAACAAAAGCAATCAGGAACAAGTAGCAATCATTGTAAAATTTGTTGAAATTCACTAACTATCCATGTTGGGATTAACTAGACATTCATCATATTATTTTCCAGGTAGCCCCTTTTAAAGATCTACACTTGTACAGAAGATAAGCATGTTATGGAGACAGTCACAATACCTACATTTAGGTAAGACATCAAAAATGTAAGTCTGGAGACTTGTAAGTGTCTTTGTTTCCAGTTTTGGTGAATCTCAAAGCGTCCCTTTTCCCATCAGCTCAGAAACAACCAGCAGATAAGTTTCCCTGAGCTATTTCTAGCACATCTGTGCATGATCATTGATTGCTAGAATCCAGTGAAAAACTGCCTACAAATACAATCTAACATTGTCAAACTTCAAAAGGTGGTCTGTAGTAGTTCCAATCAAGTACTGAAGAAAGGCTAAAGCAGATTTTCCTTACTTTTATTTTTCTCCTTCTTCTGTTGACTTCCATATGTACAGCAACAGCCCAATGTTGGGCATAAAATTAAAACATCAAAGATAGCCCAACTAGAATGCAATTTATCACTGTAGTATAGCAGCATATAGAAATCCTATTCGTTAAATAAACATATTTCTTTGAAGTGTCAACATAACCAAGAAATTTGATCTTCTAGACAATATTCCAGGCTTGATGCATTTTTATTGCTCTCCAGTAATGAAGTTTTAACTCTTGATATATTCCTCCTATTTAGCTGCCATTTCAACAAAAATAAAATGATCAATTTCCAAAGTTGGTTCAGGCAGATCTATGACATTGTGCAGAAGAATGTGCCCAGTTGTTCTTTCTGAAAGCACCCACGATTATGCTTCAACAGCAACGGATGGCAAGTGGAAGAATAAAGAACGTATTTAAATGCATAACAGAACCGAGGCAATAAATTCATTTTGCACTAGTTGCACATGTAAATAAGGTGCACCAAGTAACTTTTTTCTACATTTGCAGTTTGTAAAGTGCTAGTATATATGCAAAGCTCCCATGTGGTGTAAATGGCATTGCTCTATTAACTTCAGTGAGTCGCCTTTATATACACTGTAGATTTAATGATGATAACTTCTATTCAAAGTTATAACTACAGAAAGAGATTTGAATGAACAACTTGAATCACATTTATACTTGTCATTTGGGATTAACTAATCCCAGATCAACTCTGTACATAATATATAATTGCATATCAACAATATCAGCCTGAAAATGTGTCTCACTTCTTCCAGCAGTTTCCCAAGTTAAGCATTTTTGTCCTGCTAATGAACCTTTTGTTACAGCGAATATGATTCTGCAAGGAATTTAATGCATGTAAATGTAATGACACAAGAGCGTTACATAACCAGTTTCCTACAGGAGTTTATACAGTACAGAATATAATGAAGCTAGACTATAAATGATGCATGTACCTGCAAGGGAAAAGTAGCTCTTTTTAATTTAGTGGAACACTATAAATAACTTCATGGCAAGAAATGTTTTCAAGTGATTCAAAATGTTTGGAGAATGATCAATCAATATTCTGATGACTCATTAAATACAAAAGGAAAAAAGACACCTAAAAGATTGGAAGGCACTCTCTACCTTCTAAGAAATTTAAAGGAAGAGTCCGTAATTAAAATCTAAAAAAAAAACACAAACCCAACCACATCATTCTATAACAGAAAATGTTCTCACTAATGTTTTTGCCGTATGTTCTGGAATCAGACATACCTGCAACAGAAGTTTAAAAATTCAGGACTACATTCTGAAGCTGCTCCCATCAGAATGCTTTTCATTCTACACCAGCTGGCCCGGTGGACGTGCTCCTAGCACATGTCAAATTCTACAAATGCAGAAGAAAAAAAAAAACTCTTGCAAATTTTCCAACATCATGCTTAGCCTCCACTCAAAACATTATTCTCTAAAGACTGCTGAGTTTTTTACATCTGAAGGATGTTCTTCCATTCTTGTCCTCTTCCCTCCCTTCCTTTCAGCTGCATGGATACCTTTAAAAGAGTGAGAAAATGCATGTACCTAAGACAGGGCTGAAGGAACAGCTTTGGAAATACATCTATCACGCTAAAACAAACAGCTTCTTTGTTTGACTTCAGAGAACTGAAAAGAATCACCACATATCCTACATCACTCCTGGATTTCCATAAGACAACACTGTAATTTGAAGTAAGATATCTAAAACTTTTTGTGCTATACTTATTTATGTTATCCTGAGCAAGAGCTACTCCTCTTGCCACACGTGCAATAGATGAGTGTAAAAGCAGACATTAAAGTGTCTCTATTTTGCATACAACCGCCTCTCAGTTTTCTCCCATCAACTTTTTGTTTGACAGAGGGAATTTCACCTCTACCCACTCATTCTCATTTTGGTATTCGTAAACTCAAGGCAAAGAACTTCTAACTGAAATGAAATGATAGTAAAGAAATTATTGCTGAATTTTGAAGACTTTAGGATTCATTGCAGGAAAAAAAAAAAAAAAGAAAAAAAGAAAAATGTTTCTGATTATCATCAAGATCAAGTATTAATAATGTTTAAGTTCAGGGTATTTTTTGGGTTTTGGGAGATTTTTGTTTGTTAAGTTCAGCCAGAAGTAAAGCCAATCATTTCAAAGCAGTTTTTTTATACTGTAAGCCAACTGAGGCCCTGTAGAAAATATCCAGGTGCAACACAAATTAAACCACGCTGCAGCTAAATGTAAGTGTAATTTAAGCTCCACAAAATGAGAAAGCTCAGAGTGAAGTTGTGAAAAAGGAACAAACTATAATCACCTTCTTTTTCTTCTTTTTCTTTTTTTTTTCCTTTCCAAAAAAAAAAAAAAAAAAAAAAAAAGAGTATTTAAATAAGGAAACAAATAATGTCATGGAAAAAGTTCTGTTTGGAATATGGAAGAAGATAGCACAAACTAATTTGTCATACGAGCTGACAATGTTTGCACAGCATTTAAAAAGAAAGCACAGGACAGAAGTTGCCAAACTCTTGGGACCTGTGTATAAATTGGACTTCTTATCATACATATTTCATTGCTACGCAACTCTTCCTTCCCAGTTCATACATCATAATACACCGCTAAAAAGTGCAAAAGAGATTTCCAGTTCTGCAACAGTTTATCTGTGTGAAGCATTTTAATGCAAGTGCCCCCTGCACATTTTAGAAGCTGATCGTAGATCCCTGCGTCAGAACATTTGGGGCACTAGGAGTGATCCCTGCATGTCCACAACACATCAGTGAGTTTCTTCCAGAGCAACTTTTTTCCAGTTCCTCCCAAGTGAAGGCATTCCATCAGCCCCAGGGCAGTCAAATTCAGACTGCAGGCATTTATAGCTTTTACAGGCAATGAATACCATATCAAAAACAGTTCACGCCACGTTGAGAGGTTGTATAATTCTGATTCTGATAAAATATTATATCTGGTATAAATAATTATTTTGTTCATTTCACACTTTATCTTATTTTACTCATATACACGGTGTTAAAAGCTAATATATTATTCAGTAGCTATAAATGGCCTTTTCTGGTCTTTTCAGCAGTGTTATTGTCTTTCACATCCTGTCAGAGCATTAAGATGTCATATAACTTTGCAACAATTTACTGCATGAACCAATGTGCACTGTGCTAATATTATATGGATGACTAAGTACGCTGGCACTGCTTTATTAAAATACATGTTTAACAGTCTGCCCAAAGTGTGGGCTAGAATGCTGGCTGCAAAGACCGCAGGAACAAAAGAAAGGAAGAATATTGCATTTAAAAAGGACTGCTTAGAACAGTCTCTTCAGTCCGACACCGCAGTCGGGTTGCACATCTCTGAGCCGAGGGACAGAAGCCAGGTGCACGTGTGCATCTGGAGTGAGCTGGGCAGCCACAACAAAGCTCTCCTTAAACGCATGCACTGCAACTGCTGCAAAACAGTTATTTTAAATGCTAACAAAAGGATGATTCTCAGCTATTGTCTACTTGCAAGGGGCCTCTCCTGTATTTACAGACAGCATACTACAGTGCAAAAAAAGCCAACATTGTTGTTTTGCAAGTGAGAAACAGTACCATGCCACAATAGAAACACAGTAAAAGCAGACTTTAAACTGGAATATGTACTGTCTAGACAAATGAGCCGTTATTAAAAAAAAAAACCAAAATCACATTTTACAGACAGTTTTGGATGTCCTTTGAACCGCAAAGCACAGGGAGGCAAAGCAGTGGTGCAACAGCACAGGCAGAGATGAGGCAGGATCAGCTCTCCTCGATGCTTCTCCAGAAAAAAAAAAAACAAACTACAGCACCACAACAGCCACCCTCCCCTTCTGAACAGGACAAGAGTATTTTCTACCCTATAGAATGTTTGCATCAGTTGGGTACCTGTGGCTTTCACAGTGAGCTGGACTATTACAAGATTGATGATAAGCTCAAACACAATACTTGACCTAAATACATTATGTAGCAGTGGATGCCTGTTAAGTAGGTCAGCACAGGCTCTTAAAAGTTATGCAAAACTTATTGCTGCCACACAGCCAACATGTCACTAGTCAAGAAGTATGAGAATCAGTTTGGTAGGTTGAAGGGAATCTCGTCTCATGAAAACCTGCAGTGCCACAGTTAACATGCCTTAAGTCACAGAATACATTGCTTGCCATATGTCTTTAGGCCTCCAAACGAAATAAAAGTGAGGTGGACAGCCAAAGAAAAGTCTGACAATCCCAAAGATGATCCCGACATTCCCATACATACAATACTTCTCTTTAAATATAAGTGTTCAAATTAACATTTTTCACTTTTGCAGTCAAACAAATTGTGATTTATGGGAGGCCTCAGACAAGCCTGTCAAGCAAAAGCAGTCTGCATTTAGCAGCGATTAGCCAGATAGCTACATTACCACTGGCTTGGTCTCAGAAGCTCCTAAGCAGCACGATGTAGAGAGAACAAACATGGACAGACTCAGCTGTTGTGATACTACTGTGTGAGGCAGCACATACACATTGACCAGAAGAATGCTATACTCGCTAAAAGGAACAGGGAGCTGCTTACCTACCTGTCTCTACATGTGTCTGTGCATACCAGAGAGCAGACACTGAACATGCAGAATGAGGAGCATCTCCCAGCAGTGAAAAGATCTATCGCGCTTCGGAAGTTTTAATGTCATGTTATTAATCTTTCTGGCATTTCCTGACTTGAAGTCAGTAAGGTCTCCTTCACACAAAGCAAGTCCTTCAGTGATCTGTATGCTTCTGCACAACTGAGCTTCCAGAAGAGGCAAGGGCTAGAGAGATGTTGCTGGCTCACATTATCAAACTCCAAACCTTTATGAGAGCTAGACTGAGTTCAGCTTACAGTTTTCATCCACTGGGTATTCGTCCCATATCAACCCATGGTGGCAAAGCAGAGCGATCTACTAATGGATCAGAAGAGACTATCCCAAGCCTACCTTTCAAGTGTTGTGTAATAAAAGCCCAGTGGATGCGGACTTCAGGCATCGTTTCCATCCTTAATCCATTTCAAAAGCATGACAACACTGGCAACATGCCATGCTCTCATAAGTTATCTTCAGCATGCACATGAGCAATGCCATGAAGCTGTGGTCATATTGCTGAGATCTGTCTACATAACCTCCTCCCGACAGAGAAGCTCTTCTAGGCAATTACATATCAGTAAGGGAAAATATCAGCTCTTTGCATTTTCTCTAACTGTGGCAGCAAGTCTACTGGCAGATGTCAATAAAGAAACATAAATCACTATTTAACAATAAAAGAAAAAAAAAACACTAGAGGCAAAACCAACCTTCATTCTTGAGGGAGAGTACATCAAGCCTCTCTTGGTAAGTCTTGTGAAAGCTTTCCACTGGCCTCTCAGTGTGTGCTGTATGCATCCAAGCTGTATATTTCAGTTAACATTTAACTCAGAAGCTTTTCCTTTGAGACAAGCGATTGTTTTCCTGTCTGACCTAGTGAATACTGCAGTTCTCCAATATGCTATATTTGTGCCCTGCAGGCAGCATTGTCCCACCAACTTTCCACCGAATGCTCATAACACAAGGCAAAATGACAAAAAAAAATGAGGAGTATTATTTTGCATATTGAAAACAAATACATGCTATTGTGTTTCTTCTTTTATTGTTTTGTTATTTCATCATTGCTCACCACAGTTCTTTCCTTCATTTGCAGAGTTTGGGTTTTAATGTAATGGCCATTCAATAAAAATGTTGCTTTTAAGGGTTTGCATATCATCCCATTTTCTCTTCAACCCTTCAGCAACCATATGGCAAGCAATCAGGTCTGCAATCACTAGGTCCATATTATGTAGAGCATGATTTCAGCATTATGCTATTACCCATCTGTTTCTGTAGAAAAAGACATGAACCCTTGTATAAGAGGTCAGTGGTTTCATTGCACACCGTATTCCAGAAATCTATCTCTGTTCACTTGAGATCACTTTCGTGATTTACTGTAGTCTTTCAGGCCAGGATTTATTTATTTCTTTAGTACAGACAATCATCACAATTTGTCTGTCTGTCGTATAAAATTATTTGTAACTGTCATTCCATGCACTTATGCTCTCTTAGTTAAAGATGCTCTTTTGAGATCATGCTATTTTCTTAAATGAGAGGGGAAAAAAATAAAAGAGGAAGGCTCACCTACTTTCATTTGTTTAAGAGATTAGTCCAGGAATAATGAGGTTTGCTATTCAGCATCAATTTACTTACGAACTGGTAAGAAATGTCTCTTTTGCTTTGCTTCTTTGTTTTTGTCAACTTAAATGCAAATGGATATTTGAATTCTTTAGATGAGGAACACACTCTAGAAGTACAGACCTAACAATGTTAGTTTTTAATTTGGTCAAGTGCTCAAATCCTGTCCACAACAAGTAAATAAACTTCAACTGCAGGCGATCAAGTCTGAAAAGAACTCTGCAGACTACTGCCAAGGAGCTTAACTGCTGGCCACCCCGCGGCTGAACGTATCACGACACCGTACACTTCAGCTCCCTATCGCCTTCACATAGCCTGTGTCATGACAAAGAAACACAGAAATATGTCTAAAATGAAACTCAACATACCTTAAATGTTATGCTATTCAGTGCCCTTACAACATGCTTAACTGGCTAGCTATGCTTCACTAGAGAAACACAATGGAAACATCTTTAGCAACATCTTTTAAGCAAACCACCAGCTCGATCTAAAAAAAACCCAAAACCCCACAAACCCAACATTTCTACATATAA